ACAACCTCCCCGGATGCTCCTTCCCCGTCCCCCCTGACAACCGTAATCTGGAGGGAAAGATGCTCCTTCCCCGTCCCCCCTGACAACCGTAATCTGGAGGGAAAGAAACCCGACCTGTGGTCTCACCCCAGGGCCACCACTGCATTCCACAACTGGGAACGTCAGGCTGGCTCCTCCCAAGACAGTATTAACAGATGATGAAAGTGTGAACACCCGGGGCAGGAAAGCCAAGTGTTCCTGCAAAAGCCACAGACTCAGTCCTCAAATAAGGCCACGGAATGCCCTCTCACCACTTGAAACTTGGGTGGCATTCACCAGGAGACCTGTGCCCTCTCTTGACGCCCCATGCTGTGGCCCACGCCCCTTTTGTGCCCTCCGTGCCGCCTGTGGCCCCCTCATATCCTGCCATAGGACCCAGGGTGCTTCTGCCAGGGCCTCTGCACACCCACCCTCTAGAGAGGGCATCTGTTACTTGGATGGGCTGGTATCTGGACCCCTTTCTCCGTGGGGTATGGGCTGGGGCCTAGATTCATCCAGCAGGAGCTCCACGCTGAACCTCGGGGGGGCAGGATGAGGACACTGAGGTGCTGGCTGCTCAGAGACCATTTTCTGCCAGGAGCGGGGGAGAGGGGCATCAAGTCCCTGATGACTGCCCTGGTGGGCCTCAGCCAGGCTCCCCACCCTTGGCCCCATGGCTCCCAGCTGGGTCTATGCCTGGTGCTCTAGCTGTGCCATTCTGAGTCACTGGCACCTCCCAATACCCTCACAGGGGCCCAGACTGGTTGTAGTCCTCATGGCGCAGTGTGTCCACCTGACGTGCAACACCCACCATTCACCGGCCCGTAAGGTCACCCCACAGTGCATGGCTGCCACCTTCATATACTCTAGCTTCCCCAGTCACATGGGTTCTTGGAGCTCAGACCCATAGCCCTCTCCGCTCTTCTCTCTCAGCCTGAAGCAATTCAAGTACCACCTCTGCCCTGTTCTTTTCCCTGACAACACTGTAATCCTTTGCTGTATAACAAATTTCCCCAAAACCTAATGGCTTAAAACATTTATTATTCCACAGCTCCTGTGGGTCAAGGATTTGGGAGCAGTTTTGGAGTGGTTCTGGCTCAGGGACTCTGCTGAGGTGACAGTCAAGCTGTTGGCAGAGGCTCTGGTCACCGGAAGGCTGGACCAGGGCCTCAGGTGCTGCTTCCAAGGAGGCCCCTTCATGTGGCCCGTGGCAGGAGGCCTCAGGTCCTCGCCAGGTGGACTCTCCCCAGGGCTGCTTGGGCGTCCTCCCCACGGGGCGGCTGGCCCCACAGGGCAAGCAGGTGGAGAGGGAGAATCGGAAGAGGAGGCCTCCACACCATGTAAGACCATCTTGGAAGCCATTGGCCACATTCCATTCATTAGAAGCAAGTCACTAAACCCAGCCCACACGCAGGGGCTGTGGACCTTTTTAAAACCATCACTAACACCCACATTTCTCCCTGGAAGATTCTGGGACCTGTTTCCTCCCTGCAGTGTGGTCATTCCTCTACCAGTAGCAGCCCTAATTAGCACCTCCGCACCGGCCCTGCCCCTGCAAGCTTCCGGAGCAGAGGAGCTGAGACTCTCAACACCCACCTGAGGTGCAGGCAAGTGTGAGGTGCAAATGAGTGAGTGAACAGGGCGCAGAAGCAACAAAGAGCAGCTGCCTGAGAAGCAGAACAGGGAACAGGAGTCGAGGGGAGAGGAGGGAAGGGGAGGGGAGGGGCGCGCGAATAAGAGACCTTGCCCCCGTTTGCCCCCTGGCCCCAGCAACACCGGGAACACCATGGTGGGGACCTAGGCAGATCTGGATCAGCCAAGCGGCGCACATAACCCCGCCCCATCCCCACCTCCGATGGGAGGGAGGGTCCTCGTGCAAGGGTGAGACCCCAAGGACCGGGAACCACGGGCCAGCCAAGACGAGGAGAGAGGTGAATCCTCACAAATATCCTGCCCAAGCGAGCTGCGGGGCCCCAGGGAAAGGCCAACACCCGCCCCCCACCCCAACGCTGGTTGTCTCCACACCCACCACTGTGACTTCCTGAGATGGGCTGGGGCGAGAGGAGAGAGTGTCCCCAACCTCTGGACTCCTCGACCCAGGGAGAGCCCGGAGCTCCCCTCCGGGGTCCAAATCCCCCCGCCGGTGCGGACCGCGGAGCTCCCGCGGTCACAGCGCCCCTGGTGGGCAAAGTCCAAAGCGGCAGGAGAGCCCTCCGCATCCCCAGCAGAGCAACCCGGCCGCTGACCCCACCCCCGGCCCCGGCGCTCTGCACAACCTGGGCCTTCCCCCACAAACCCTCAAGGAAGGGTTAGCCGTCCCTTTTGCAGGGGCTGAGAGAAGCCGGGGCACTTGACCAAACCCAGGAGTTGGTGGGAGTAGAGGGGAGGGCGAAGGTGGGGCGGGGCCGAGGCGGGGTGGATGAGGAGGCGGGAGGAAACTGGTCCGAGAAGTGGTGGGGGTGGAGGTGAGCGGCTGGCAAGAGCCAGGCACGGTCCTGCAGAGCTGGGGTTGTGACCCCGCTTCCGGCGGCCTGCGAGCTCCTCGAGCTCCTCGCAGGCTCCTCATCCCTGCCCGGAGCCGCGCATCTGACCCCTCACGACCCATCTCGGCACTGGTGCTCACTGTGGGGTCGGCCCTGGATGCGCAGCCCACGCGGCAGGACGGTCCGCATCCTCCAGGACCCACGCTTGAGCCCCCTCCGCCGCCGCCGCCAAAATCACACAATCCCCTGAGCACTCTTCATGTACCTGCCGCTGTAGGCCCATCACTCCCAAACTTTCCCTTGATGCGAAATACTTGGTTGTTGTTTTTTTAAGATTTTATTTATTTGACAGAGAGAGACACAGCGAGAGAGGGAACACAAGCAGGGAGAGTGGCAGAGGGAGAAGCAGACTTCCTGCTAAGCAGGGAGCCGGATGTGGGGTTGGATCCCAGGACCCTGGGATCACGACCTGAGCCGAAGGCAGATGCTTAACGACTGAGCCACCCAGGCGCCCCTAAATACTTATTTTAACAGCAAAGTGCCCATCACTAAAACTTGTATGAAACTGCACATTGGCCTATCTGCCGGTGCAACCCGAGCTCGCCCTCGCTGCCCCCTCCGAAGCCCCTCTTTCTGAGAGGGTCATCCGCCTGTAGGGTCAACCTGGACAGAACTGGGTCCACACCGGAGCCAGGAGGCATGTCCACATCTCAGGGCCACCAAGGGAGGCTGTTCTGTTCATCTTCCATCAAAACTCCCCTTGGGTCTGCTCAAGGAAGGAGAAAAGGGCTGGGGCAGGGAGGGGGTCTGCTGAGACTAAATGGGGTGGAAAAATGGTGTGACCCAGGTGGGAAGAGCACCCCCACACACACTGGATCCACAGGGAACCTCTGGCAGCAGGGGGCAGGATAGAGTTGCAGTAGTTGGTTTTTCAAGGAGAAACTATTTGTGCTGAAGAAAAGGTAACAGACCTCCAGGGCATCATGAACTAATCACGCCTTCTTGAAGTTGCAACCTCCAAGGGGTACCGTCCTCTAAAGACAGAGTCTGGCCAGGTGAGGAGCACAGAGCAGGTGGGAGGACTCATTACCCCAACGGCCCCATCCCACAAGAGTCAGAAACACCTGCTCAGTGGGCAGGGATTTATTATGGCCCCCAATGATCCCTGGAGGCAAGATCAGGGTTGGTTACATGTAGGGGAATTCACACTTGTTGCATGCATAAATACATGAAGATACATGTTACACCAGCACAAATCACAAATCTTTCAGCCTTGTCATGAAAATGCCCCAGCTGTGGCAGTTACAGTCTCCAGAGCCTCCCACTGCAGACAGCACAGCTCCATCCCCCCCCAGGAATGACCCCACAGAGCCAGGGCTCCCTGAAGCAGGAGAAGCCCAAAGTCAGTGCTTCCTATTGTTTGCAGGTGACTAAGGTCACCTGGCTGAGGTCTGCAGCTCAGCTTACAGGTGGAGGCAGAATAGTCTTTTCAGTGTTGTATTTCTATAGTTTATCTGCAGGGAAGAGTGTTTGCAAAGTTACCAAACTGCAGCTTCCATCTGCAGACCAGGGAGGGTGCTTCGCCGGTGACCACCGCCGGGAGACCCTCTCCCCCCGAACAGTGCTCCCACACCAGGCAGTTCTCACACTTGGCTCAAGGAGGCCCTGTCAAGCCTCACCCCTCATACCAGCTCTGCATGTGAAGCCACCCTGATTTGGCACCATTTAAGACTAGTCCTGACAGCGGGAAGCTCAAGCCTCCCCACAGACACCTGGAGGCTTGTAAGCAAAGCCAGTATCAGTCACTGCAGAGGCAGAGCATAACCCACCCCAACTGCCACTCCTCTTCCAAGTCCACCAGGGTCCAAGCAGGGCGCAGGGTCCTGTCAGCTGCATAGCTGCTGAACTCTGATTTCAAGAGAGCCAAGGAAGACCCATGGACCCCTAGACAGAGCACGGCAGAGCGCGCCCCGCCCCAGCACTGCGCAGCCAAGACCAGGCACACTGGGCAGTTTCAAGAATGACAGAGTGGCTTGAGGTGATCAAGCAGCCCACCTTCCTTCTGAGCCACCTCTGCACACCTGGACAGCCACATCTGTGCCTGACAGTTCTTTGTGCTTCTGGAGCGAAAAGCTTCTCTGAGAAACCTTTCAGAAGCAGGAGTGGGGGACAAGGAGGTGACAGCAGTTGAGTGCCAGGCAAGTCCATATCAGCAACTCCAAGCCCTACTGCCCACAGAGGCGTGCCAGCTCTCTAGGCAGCTCCGAGCTCATCCGGCTGCCCCGAGGAGGGGCTGCAGGGCTCCATGCAGAGAGCACATGGCACAGGACATGGGCTGCTGTCACCGCCATGTGTGTGCACACCAAGAGCACGCAGGGTGCAGCAGGGGAGGGGCCAGAAGAGTCCGTGATGCGTAAGGGTGTTGGCATGGGCTCTGGCCAGGCACACTCACTGGTGGGTGTCCCCTCTCTGCTCCGCACCAGGAGGGCAGCTTTAGTCTGACCTGTCCCATGATGTCACCAGGCCCTCTGCAGCCACAGTGAAGTCCTCAAGTCTGGCAATGCTCAGGACACAGGCTGGGTGTCAGCCTAGAGAGCAGTGACCTGGGTGAGCTCCGTGTTGGGTGTTGACGGGCTCTGTGGGCTGACAGGCACCATGGGCAGGTCCACGCCTAGTCATGCGGGCCGTGGTACCGTCTCAGAGGTCTTGCAGGCGAGGGCCACATCCCTGGCAATGCTGCGCACACGGTCAGACACCTGCATCTCCCGGCGCAGGGCAGGAGTGCAGCAGAACTTTCGGAAGCAGGCCTTGAAATTCTCGTCCAAGAAGGCATAGAGGATGGGGTTGAGGCAGCTGTTGACATAGCCAAGGGCTGTGCAGAAGCGCAGGAGAGCCACAGCAGTCTCACTGCCCGGCTGAACACCCAGCCCTTGGACCAGCACAAACACCTGGACAGGCGTCCAGCAGCCCACAAACACTGCCACCACCACCAGCACTAGCCGCGTGATGCGCCGCAGGTTCCGGTCCTTCTCTCGGGAGCCAGACAGCAGGCGGACACCGCGCAGCCGCCGGATCATGAGGCTATAGCAGATGGAGATGATGAGTACGGGAATGATGAAGGAGAAGAGGAAGATGCAGATGGCAAACACGGGGCCCCAGTAGTCCTGTGGGGTAGGGATCTCCACCAGACACTCAATCTCTGCAGGGAGAAAAGCGGGGTCAAGGTGGATAAACCAGGAGGGACCCTCTGGGATCCAGGAGACAACAGCACTGGGGAAGAGGGGCCACCCCACTGACCTTCATCCTCGACCTGTGCCGAGCCCATGATGGCAACAGGAATGCCGACGAGAGATGCCAGAGCCCAGATGGCCACATTGACAGCCTGGGCCTTGCTGGACGTCCGGACATCGAGAGCACGGATGGGGTGGCAGATGGCTACATAGCGGTCCACACTCATGGCAGTCAGTGTGAAGGTGCTGGTAAACATGTTGTAATAGTCGATGGCAATGACCGTCTTGCACAGGGCATTTCCAAAAGGCCAGAAGCCCAAGAGGACGTCTGTGCCCTGGAAGGGCAGTGTCAGCAGCACCAAAGTGTCTGCCAGGGCCAGGTTAAAGATGTAAATGTTGGTAGCTGTCTTCATCTTGGTGTGTCTGCAGAGAGCACAGGGAGAAGGAAAGCTTCATCTAGTCCCCCTGGCTGGACCTGGCAGCAAAGGCCCAGGACCCTTCTTATTGCCACCACGAGGAGCACCCACTCTGAGACCCTTCTTAAATGCAGATTCTTGGGCCCAGCATGGAGCCTGGGGGCAAACAGTCCTTCTGGCACACACAAAAGTGTTCCAAACCCAAAGACTGGTCTGCTTTGAAAAAGTTGGGTGTGTAGGGTAGCAGAGCACACATCTGACTCCGCATGGGAGCAAAGGGGTAAGAATCATAAGAAAAAGGACCTGTCCTCCCTCCCTCCCTTCCAAGTCTTCCTGAAGACCCTACACGGACTACAAGGTTGGCTCTACAGATACCAGAGGTTTCTAAGGGCTCCAAAGTCTATAAGAGCACATTAAGTCCTTCTAAGGCCATGTTGTAGTCTGGTGACAGAAACAGGAAATGGTGACAGGAATGGGAGGGTTGCTAATGAGGTCTGGCTGTATCCAAGGAACAGGTCTTGGGACATTATGGCTGCTTAATAAATATTTGTTGCAATGAATTAATAGTTATGATGGTGGTGATGGTGGTGATGGAGATTATGGTGGTGATGGTGGAGGTGGTAATTGTGGTGGTGATGGTGGTGGTGGTGGTAACTATGGTGGTGATGGTGGTGGTGGTAATTGTGGTCATGATGGTGGAGGTGGTGATTATGATGGTGATGGTGGAGGTGGTAAT